ATCAATAATACCTGAAGGCCTCTTCATTGTTTGATCATCCATTTGCAACCTCATGGATGTGGGTCTTGGTTTCCCAATTCCCAAAGTTTTGGACATCGAGTAGGGAATCACGTTGATACTTGCCCCGAGATCACATAATGCTTTGGCAAAATCGGTGCTCCCAATGGTGCAAAGGATTGTAAAAGCGCCCAGATCTTCCAGCTACGGAGCCATTGAGTGCACAATAGCACTCACTTGGTGAGTCATCTTGATGGTCTCACAATTCATTTATCTTTTCTTGGTTACCAAATCTTTCATGAGTTTTGGATATCCCGGAATTTGTTCCAATGCCTCAACCAACGACACATTAATTGACAAACTCTTGATCATATATAAACATTTTAAATTGGTTTTCACTATTTTTCTTTGCAATCTTTTGAGGGTATGAAGGAGAAGGCCTTGGCATTGGTGCCTTGGCCTTAGGCACTACCGGTTCCAGCATGTCAATCACGTGTTCCCTAGACGAGTTCACCTCTTCTTGCGTCTCCTCCACACTTTCATCTATATCAATTCTCACTTCATTATTAGCTTGAACCACATTGCTTGGGATTTCATCTTCTTGAACCACAACATCTTCACCCACAATCCTTTGTTGATTTGAGGTGGTTGGTTGCATTTCCACCTTTACTTCTAGTAGTCACGTCCATAGCATGTCCCGTATTATTCCCACCCATCGGGTTCACCACTGTATTACTAGGTAGTTTCCCCTTAGGACGAGTGTTCAACGCTTGTGAGATTTGGCCTAATTGAACCTCCAAATTCTGAATAGAAGTGTTGTGCGAGGCTAATTGAGCACCGGAGTCGGCATTCATCTCCATTATCTGTTTAAACATGTTTTCAATTCTACCTACTTCATTGGAAGAAGAGATCGGGCCTTGAGAAAGATAGGGAGGTGGAGTTGTTGGAACATCGGAGGCCTTTGAAAACCCAACCCCCAATTGTTGTTATTTTTCCACCCTCCTTGTTATTTCCTCCCCAATTGCTTTGATTGTTGCCACCCCAATTACCTTGATTACTCCGATTTTCTTGATTTCCTTGATTGTTCCAATTGCCTTTGTGAGGCCCCGTGAAAAATTTCCACTCCAAACCCGAACCTCGTAGTGCCAAGTTAGGGCCAGGTGTTAGAAACTCATAAACATTCTTCGAGGCGAGCTTTCGGCCGCAGCTCGAACCCTTTGAGCTAATCTATGCATTTAAAAATCAAGAATCAAAGTTTTCCAGAAAAGTGCAAATGTGCGGTTTAGAATGCGGTCGCATACCAGGTATGCAGAACGCATTTCTGCCGCAGAGGATTGGTCAGGTGGCATACAAGCTCCAGCTTCCACCCGAGATGTCACTGGTACACCGGTCTTTCATGTGTCTATGTTCAGGAAGGTATTGGGAGATCCGTCAACCATTTTGCCAGCTGAGATCATTGAGGTTAATGAAGATCTATCGTATGAAGAAGTTCCAGTTGCCATTCTTGATAGGCAGGTTCGAAAATTGAGAAATAAGGAAATTGCATTGGTGAAAGTATTATGGCGGAACCAGCAAGTTGAGGAAGCTACTTGGGAAGCCGAGGATAAAATGAAAAAGAAGTATCCGCATTTGTTTGAATAGTCAGGTAACAACTTTAATGCATTTAGTTCCTATGAACTCTTATCTTTTGGGTTGATCTATGTAAAACCGTCCCCTTTTTGGTAATGTGATTGCCTATACGGCCTTGGTTGGTGTTGTACAAGTTACATTATGTTTATGAAATATGTTTATGCTATTAGGATATGATTCTGGGGCTCTCTGACAGGGGGATAGGCCTAAATACAAAGGAAACTCTGGCGAAATTTTTGGAAATTTAGGGAGTTAGCTAAATTTGGGGACTGGCAATATGTTTCAGGTTATAAAGGGCAGAAGGATGCAGAAAGACTGTTATTAAGTGAACCTTGATCCTCATTCGAGGACATATGATCTTAAGTGGGGGAGGATGTGAGGCCCCGTGAAAAATGTCCACTCTAAACCCGAACCTCGTAGTGCCAAGTTAGGGCCAGGTGTTAGAAACTCATAAACATTCTTCGAGGCGAGCTTGCGGCCGCGGCTCGGACCCTTTGAGCTGATCAATGCATTTAAAAATCAAGAATCAAAGTTTTCCAGAAAAGTGCAAATGTGCGATTTAGAATGCGATCGAAAACCAGGTATGCGGACCGCATTTCTGCCGCAGAGGATTGGTCAGGTGGCATACAAGCTCCAGCTGCCACCCGAGATGTCACTGGTACACCCGGTCTTTCATGTGTCTATTTTGAGGAAGGTAGTGGGAGATCCGTCAACAATTTTGCCACGAACTCTTATCTTTTGGGTTGATCTATGTAAATCCGTCCCCTTTTTGGTAATGTGATTGCCTATACGGCCTTGGTTGGTGTTGTACAAGTTACATTATGTTTATGAAATATGTTTATGAAATATGTTTATGCTGTCAGGATATAATTCTGGGGCTCTCTGACAGGGGGATAGGCCTAAATACAAAGGAAACTCTGGCAAAATTTTCAAAAATTTAGGGAGTTAGCTAAATTTGGGGACTGGCAATATGTTTCAGGTTATAAAGGGCAGAAGGATGCACAAAGACTGTTAGTAAGTGAACCTTGATCCTAATTCGAGGACGAATGATCTTAAGTGGGGGAGGATGTGAGGCCCCGTGAAAAATTTCCACTCTAAACCCGAACCACGTAGTGCCAAGTTTGGGCCAGGTGTTAGAAACTCATAAACATTCTTCGCGGCGAGCTTGAGGCCGCGGCTCGGACCCTTTGAGCTGATCTATGCATTTAAAAATCAAGAATCAAAGTTTTCCAGAAAAGTGCAAATGTGCGGTTTAGAATGCGGTCGCATACCAGGTGTGCGGACCGTATTTCTGCCGCAGAGTGAGTCAGTGTCTTAGCTAATTTGAGTTTAAAGATGCGGTCCATTATGCGATCGCATAACCAATATGCGGACCGCATAGTCGTCGCATAATTTCCTTGGGATTTTGTGAAGGTCAGTTCTGCGGTGCATAATGCGACCGCAGAATGAGTATGCGGACCGCATTTTCGTCGCATCCCCAAACAGATGGTTCAGGTTTTGGGAGCCTTTTTGCGGTCAAATATGCGGCCCGCATTTCCACTTTGCGATCGGAGATCCGACTCGGGGCTCCAATTTTCTAATTTTTAACCCGACCCCCCTATCGTTATATTCGGTATTATAGCTCATTTTGAGCAATTTTCTGGATATTTCTAGAGTGAGGGAGAGGGGTCTAAGTGAGAGAAAGTTTTCCCCCACAAAATTACTCCATGAAACCTTGTTGAATCTTTGAAGATAATCAAGCAAGGGCAACTAAACTTTTCATCCCTAGAGATCGAAGCGATAAGAGTTCCGAAAATTTGTAAAGAGTAAGGGAAGCTATATTGAGGTATGTATGGCTAAAATCCCCTTTAATTAGAAATTGAGCTCGATGGGCGTTTACGAAAGTGTGGTAATATTTGAATTGGTTAATGTATTGATTGTTATTGCGCATTTATTGATTTGCAATTATCTACACATATACGTGAATGATGCGCCTCAATGTGATGTAATGTACCATTCTTGAAAATTTAGAGAAGTATGAAGAATACAATTATGTGTCGAAGTGCTTAGGCTAATAGGCCAAGATTGAAACTGAGAATTATTCATGCTAGCTATGTGCTCACTTACCTTTGCTTGCAACTTAAACTACTCTTGTATATGTCTATGATCACAACTTGAAAGACGAATATTGAAAACGGAAAAAAATGTGATAATGGTGGCCCTAAGTTCCAGGGAATTGATATGATATATGTGAAATAAAGAATCATATGTGATGACTAATGAGAAAGGAACAACGCCTAGATAAGGCGACCTAGCCGATCGGGCCGTGATCGGACACCATGCTGCACACTTTGTGGTAATGTGCTGCTATTGAGCTTCGGATAGAGGAAATGAAATAGTGATTGAGATACATGCCTCAAATGAGGCAACCTAGCCGGTCGGGTCGTGATCGCTCTCCGCTCAAGATAGCGGTGGTATTGAGAACAGTGATGAACGTAGGAAAGGAATGCCCCATACTAAGTTATGGGAATTATGTGAATAATTTTATGATTTGCATATTTGATTCACCTATGTGATTTACTTGTCATTGCTTGGTAGTTCTTTCTAGTAAAATGGTGTTTAGTTATACATACTAGTACTATTCCATGGTACTAACGTCCCTTTTGCCGGGGGCACTACATTTTCTTAAATGAATGTAGGTGGCTCCATAGCAGATAGTGCCGATCGTGTGTAGCGGAGCATTCTCCTTCCCAAAGATCTTGGTGACCCCTTTCTCCTTCAAGGGGCTATATTGCACATCTTCTTATTTTGGACTTTCACTTTTGAGGTATAGCCGGGGCCTTGTTGCCGGCGCTGTCACATTTATTTTTGTATCCTTAGAGGCTCCGTACACATGTATGTGGGTTATGCGTGGGCATTGAATGGCGTGCTATCCATGTTGTAAATCTAAACTTACGTTGCCTATGAATTGTAACTCTATGGGAACCTTGGAAACTAACTTATCTACAGTTAATGTGGTGATCTAAAATGAACTAAAAATGTTGAATATACTATCTCCCTTTGTTGAATAAATGAAAGCATGGTCCCCTTATTCGTATTGAGTTGGGTAGATAGTGTTTGGTAAGGCTTGCTCAGTTGGGGTCACTTGATTGAGCGCCGATCGCGCCTCCCGAGGTTGGGGCGTGACAAACTTGGTATCAGAGCCTAAGGTTTTAAAGTATCCTAGGATGTCTCGGAGCCGTGTCTAGTAGAGTCCTTCTTATCGGTGTGTAGTCGACCACATCTATAAGTTGGAGGCTATTTGGACATTTAGGAATTCCACCCTTCTTTGATATTCTGGATCGTGCGGTGAAACTGTTCCTTTCCTAATCAATGCATTATTTATCTTTCAGTACATGGCACCTAAGAAGAAAGCGAGAATTGGCCAAGGAGCCAATGCCACCCTAGGAGTGGCTGATGATTCATTGCTTGATGTTGCGGGTGAGGGTAGCCGCCCTGCTATTACTCTGCCGGATCCTTCTAATTCCAGAGCAGACTACCCCAGCTCCTACACCTGCGGAGGGCGCCACTATCCCTCCCGTTGATACTCTTGTTCTGCCTCCAGCCCCGGCTTCCGATTCTGGTATTTCTGATGGGGATCTTAGGGGAGCTATTCAGATGTTGACCCAGCTAGTGGCCTCTCAGGCCCAGAGGTCAGGTATTGCACCCAGTTCATCATCTATCCAGCAAGGGGATTCCACCAGTTCCAGGGTGAACAGATTTCTTTAGTTAGACCCTCCAGTATTTTCGGGTGCCAATCCAGAAGAAGACCCCCAGGATTTCATTGATGAGATGCACAAGACCCTCAGGGTGATGCGTGCAACTGAGACAGAGGGAGTAGAGTTGGCCGCCTACCGTCTGAAAGGGGTGGCCTATGCATGGTTTGAGTTATGGGAGGATTCCCGCGAGGAGGGGAGCCCTCCGGCCAGGTGGACTGAGTTCGCAGATGCCTTCATAGATCACTTCCTGCCTGCTGAGACAAGGGCAGCCCGTGCAGCAGAGTTTGAGAATTTAAAGCAAGGTAACAAGAGTGTGTGGGAGTACCACATGGAGTTTGCTCGCTTGTCCAAGTATGCCATTCATATGTTGCCCACGAGGGAGGCCAGGGTGCGTCGGTTCGTTCAGGGACTTAATTCTTTAACCATTAATGAGGTTTCTACGGCTGCATTGAATTCTGATATGAACTACGAGAAGATGGTCGCATTTTCTCAGGCCACAGAGAGTCGAAAATTGAAGAACAGAATAGAGAGAGAGGGTAACAGCAAGGCCCGATCTACGGGCAACATGGGAGAGTCACAAGGCGGGGGAAGATCAGCTTTCAGGGGAGGATCATCAGGGCCTTCCCAGTCTATTGCCCAGTCTTCGGCCAGTGCACCGCCATCAGGGCCCAGCCAGCAGCAGTGGAGTCGTTTCAGGCCCGGTCAGGGCCACAGGGGATCCCATCAGCGGGGTCGATCAGGAGAGAGGTCCCAGCAGCAGCAGAGGTCCCCGTGCCCCAGGTGCGGTAAGATGCATTCAGGGATTTGCAACATGGAGTTACCTATATGCTATGGATGTGGGATGAGGGGTCATATCCAGAGACATTGTCGTGTATCCCGCCAGGGAGCGGGCAGGGGCACAGCTCAGCCTTCCAGTCCAGCAGCTGCTACATCTTCAGCCCCTTCCCCAGCTCGAGGTTCCCCAGCACCCGCAGGGCGTGGTGCAGCTAGGGGTGGTGCGCAGAGTTCAGGAGGTCCCAGCCGATTCTATGCTATGAGTGGCCGCCAAACTACAGAGGCTTCTCCAGATGTTGTTACAGGTATTCTGACTGTCCAATCTCATGATGTGTATGCACTTATTGACCCCGGTTCCACCTTATCCTATGTTACCCCATCTGTTGCTATGGAATTTGGGATAGAACCAGAACAACTTCATGAACCATTCTCGGTATCTACTCCAGTTGGTGAGTCAATTTTGGCTGCTCGAGTTTATAGAAGTTGCATTGTTACGATGCGGGGTAGTGATACCATGGCCGATCTTATTGAATTAGGGATGGTCGACTTTGATGTCATAATGTGGATGGATTGGTTTTATTCATGTTTTGCCAAACTTGACTGTCGGACCAGAACTATGAGGCTTGAATTTCCTAATGAGACCGTTATTGAGTGGAAGGGAGATAATGTAGTGCCTAGAGGTCGGTTTATTTCCTACCTTAAGGCTTAAAAGATGATCAAGAAGGGGTGTATCTATCATCTAGTTCGGGTTGCAGACACCAATGTTGAGGCGCTTAGCCTTGAGTCTGTGCCAGTGGTGAATGAATTCCCGGATGTCTTTCCAGATGAGCTCCCTGGGATTCCTCCAGACAGGGAGATTGATTTTGGGATCGATGTGATGCCAGGCGCGCAGCCTTTATTAATTCCACCTTATAGAATGGCACCGGCAGAATTGAAAGAGCTAAAGGAGCAATTGAAGGATTTGTTAGAAAAGGGTTTCATCCGGCCGAGTGTGTCACCATGGGGCGCACCGGTCTTGTTCGTAAGAAAGAAAGATGGATCGCAGCGGATGTATATTGACTACCGGCAACTCAACAAATTCACAATCAAAAACAAATATCCTCTACCCAGAATAGATGACTTATTTGATCAATTGCAAGGTGCTACGTGTTTCTCAAAGATTGACTTGCGGTCCGGGTATCACCAGTTGAAGATAAGGGAGCGGGATATTCCAAAAACAACCTTTAGAACTCGGTATGGGCACTTTGAATTTATGGTAATGTCTTTTGGGCTAACAAATGCCCCGACAGCTTTCATGGACCTTATGAATCGAGTCTTCAAGCCCTTTCTAGACTCCTTTGTGATAGTGTTTATTGACGATATCCTCGTGTATTCCCGAAGTCGGGAGGACCACGCTGCCCCATCTCAGGGCAGTATTACAGACTCTTCAGCAATATCAATTGTATGCAAAATTTTCGAAATGTGAATTTTGGCTTGAATCTATCGCGTTCTTGGGCCATGTCGTCTCCAAGGAAGGAATTATAGTTGATCCTCAAAAGATTGCAGTAGTGAAGAATTGGCCTAGACCTACCACTCCTACTGAGATTCACAGTTTCTTAGGTCTGGGGTACTACAGGAGGTTTGTGGAGGGGTTTTCTACTCTTGCCTCTCCATTGACTAAATTGACGCAGAAAGCGGTTAAATTCCAATGGTCCGATGCTTGTGAAAAGAGTTTCCATGAATTGAAGTCAAGATTGACAACACCAGCGATATTAGCCCTGCCAGAGGGGTTTGTGATGTATTGCGATGCTTTGAGAATCGGGCTCGGGTGTGTGTTGATTCAACATGACAAGGTTATAGCCTATGCTTCTAGGCAGCTTAAGAATCATGAGAAGAACTATCTATTAACTGTGATTTTAACACATTTTATGCCCATACTTGCCTATGCTTTATGTATGAATTGTCATAAAATAGACCCTGAATGCTTACAAAGTGCGCTTGATTGCAGGTTAGAGTGACAAGATGACAAAAGTCAAGAATCGGCTCGAAACGGAGTGAAACCTGCTCAAGTGTCAAAAAATCATTGAAGTGGGGACAAGAGGACCTAGCGCGGACCGCACTGATTTGTTGCGCGGCCGCGCTAGGAGATTCAGAGAGTATACATTTCAAGGGTCTCCATGCGCGGTCCGCGCTCGTTTCTGCGCGGTCAGTGCTTGTGTCCACACGGTCGCGCTTCATTGTTGCGTGGTCCGCGCCCATTAGCCTGCGCGGCAGCGCTACCTTCTTGCGCGGTCCGCGTCCTCAGCTTCAGAAGTGAGTGATCGAAGTCCAAGACCCCTACGCGGCCGCGCTGCATTTCTGCGCGGTCCGCGCCAGCCCCGCAGGGGTATTTTTGTCCAGTTAGAATATTTTATTATTTCTAGGTTAAGTTTTAGATATCAGATAGCAGCAGCACTCGTGAGACTCAAGTTTTAGCCTATTTTGGGCATTTTCATCTTGTTTTATCGTGGATTCTTGTAGATTAACATTCTAGTTAATTAATATGTTGATTTATCTACTACTTCTTCAATTTCTGTTGCTATTATGTCTAGCTAAACCCATTAGCTAGGGTTGTGGCTCAACCCTAGTGTGGGTAATCAATGGGTGTGAATGTTTAATGCTTGAATGATGTTGGGTGTTTGCTATTTGGGTTAATTTTATGATTTAACTAGGATTTGGTGGTTGCAAACACTAAGTCTAGCTTAGTGGGTCTTGACTCTTCTTGAGAAAGAGTGTCTATGACTCCAAAATTAACCCAACAAGGAATTGGGATGGACCCATGAGAATGGTAGTCCCAATTAACGGGTTAAACCTTGAAAGAGTAATTACCCAACTTGAACCATAAGTTGCTTGGTCTTGTTGGCCTACCCAATTGGTCTCGAGAGAGTCAATTGGGCAAAATCACTCTTTCTACGAGAGGTGTGAGAGTGAGTGCAATCGTGCAACGGTTATAGCATAAGCCCCATAATCATCATTGTTGTATTAGGAATCTCTACCCGTTAGTTGACCACCTAGGTAAATGCCACGATCCTAGTGTCTTTCTCTATCTTGCATACAACTTAGAATCACTATCTTAGCGTAATTTGGTTATAATTAGTAGTTGTTAAATTGTAGTTGATAATCATAAAAAATCCAAAAATGATAGAAGATCAATTAGAAGCAAACACGCATTTCTAGACTAAGCAAATATCCAACTCCCTCTCCAGCTCCCTGTGGAAATTGACCCCGATACCACTATTGGGTAAAAGTATTAGTGCTCACTCTTCCTAAGGTTGAGTCCGCTGCGCGATCACTTTTTGGCGCCGTTGCCGGGGAGCTTACGGTGTTGACTATTTGTGTAGCTAGTTTTGTGTTTTGCTTCTCTTTCCTTCTTTTTACTAACTTTATTTGTGTTGATCCATCAGGTACACATGGCTCTAAATGGAAATGTCCCTCTTGGCAATGCCTTGGCGGGGGAGGAGGTTGAAGATGTTGAGCAAGATGAGCTTCCGGTACCTCAAGTACCACGGAGAGGTAGAAATGCCAATGCTAATGTACATGACAACAATCCTATTCCAGACCCTCCTCCGCCACCGCCAAGAGCGGTCCCAAGAGCGGTCCCAAGAGTTCTTCCTAATCAAGGGTACGCGAGTGCGATCGTTCCTCCCCGAATCCGGGCGGGGAACTTTCAAATCACAAATGTCATGTTGACCTTGCTCGAGCAAAGGGGATATTTTACGGGCGCCTCCAACCAAAATGCATACAAGCACTTTAAGGGGTTCGTAGATACTTGCTGGGGCAGTAAACAAACAAACGTGTTAGAGGATGCGTTGCGATTGAGGCTTTTCCCGTTTTCTCTTTGGGGCAAAGCGTTGGACTGGTTAGAAAGGTTACCAAATCATTCTATCACCACATGGGATGAATTGGCGGACAAATTTATTGCCAAGTTCTTTTCTCCAAGTTATATGGCGGCTCTTCGAGACGAGATTCTAGCCTTCAAGCAAATGCCAACGGAACCATTGCATGAGATCTGGGAGCGCTATAGAACAATGGTGAAGGAGTGCCCTAACAACGACATGGCTGAGGTGATGAACCAGCAGACTTTCTATAGGGGCATCAACACCACAAATCAATGCATTGTGAACCAATTGGCCGGTGGGAACTTTATGAAACTTTCTTACCAAGAGGCATGTGACGTACTTGATGAAATGGCTAACACCTCTTCGGCATGGCAAAGCCGAGCGAATGTACCCCAAGGTGACCCCACGGTCATCCATTTGCACAAGGAGTCGAGTGATCATGGCCAAGCTATTGCCGAACTTACAACAACAATGAATCAGTTGGCGAAGGTGCAATTGCAACAAGTACAAAGCCCGCGCCAAGTCAATGCAATGGAGAATGTTTCATGCTAAAAAGGAGGCAAAGAGNATAAGGGAAATGAAATAATGATTGAGATATATGCCTCCAATGAGGCAACCTAGCCGGTCGGGTCGTGACCGGACTCCGCTCAAGGTAGCGGTGGTATCGAGAACAGTGATGAACGTATGAATGAAATGCCCCAAACGAAGTTATGGGAATTATGTAAATGATTCTATGATTTGCATATTAGATTCACCTATGTGATTTACTTGTCATTGCTTGGTAGTTCTTTCTAGTAAAATGGTGTTTAGTTATACATACTAGTACTATTCCATGGTACTAACGTCCCTTTTGCCGGGGGCGCTACATTTTTTTAAATGAATGTAGGTGGCTCCATAGCGGATAGTGCCGATCGTGTGTAGCGGAGCATTCTCCTTCTCAAAGATCTTGGTGAGCCCCTTTCTCCTTCAAGGGGCTATATTGCACATCTCTTGCCTTTTTGGACTTTCACTTTTGAGGTATAGCCGGGGCCTTGTTGCCGGCGTTGTCACATTTATCTTTTGTATCCTTAGAGGCTCCGTAGACATACATGTGGGTCAGATGTGGGTGTCGGATGGGTGTGCGAGTTATGTTATAATTCTAAACCTATATTGCCTATGAATTGTAACTATATGGGAACCTTGGAAACTAACTTATCTACAGTTAATGTGGTGATCTAAAATGAACTAAAAATGTTGAATATACTATCTCCCTTTGTTGAACAAATTAAAGCATGGTCCCCTTATTCGTATGGAGTTGGGTAGATAGTGTTTGGTAAGGCTTGCTCAGTTGGGGTCACTCGATTGAGCGCCGGTCGCGCCTCCCTAGGTTGGGGCGTGACAAACTTGGTATCAGAGCCTAAGGTTTTAAGGTTTCCTAGGATGTCTCGGAGCCGTGTCTAGTAGAGTTCTTCTTATCGGTGTGTAGTCCACCACATCTATAAGTTGGAGGCTATTCGGACATTTAGAAATCACACCCTTCTTTGATAATCTAGATCGTGTGGTGAAACTGTTTCCTTCCTAATCAATGCATTGTTCTATCTTTCAGCAAATGGCACCTAAGAAGAAAGCGAGAATTGGCCAAGGAGCCAATGCCACCCCAGGAGTGGCTGATGATTCATTGCTTGATGTTGCGGGTGAGGGTAGTCGCCCTGCAATTACTCTGCCGGATCCTTCTATTCCAGAGCAGACTACCCCAGCTCCTACACCTACGGAGGGCACCACTATTCCTCCCGTTGATACTCTTGTCCCGCCTCCAGCCCCAGCTTCCGGTTCTGGTATTTCGGATGGGGATCTTAGGGGAGCTATTCAGATGTTGACCCAGTTAGTGGCCTCTCAGGCCCAGAGGTCAGGTATTGCACCCAGTTCATCATCTAGCCAGCAAGGGGATTCCACCAGTTCCAGGGTGAACAGATTTCTTCAGTTAGACCCTCCAGTATTTTCGGGTGCCAATCCAGAAGAAGACCCCCAGGATTTCATTGATGAGATGCACAAGACCCTCAGGGTGATGCGTGCAACTGAGACAGAGGGAGTAGAGTTGGCTGCCTACCGTCTGAAAGGGGTGGCCTATGCATGGTTTGAGTTATGGGAGGATTCCCGCGAGGAGGGGAGCCCTCCGGCCAGGTGGAGTGAGTTCGCAGATGCCTTCATAGATCACTTCCTGCCTGCTGAGACAAGGGCAGCCCGTGCAGCAGAGTTTGAGAATTTAAAGCAAGGTAACAAGAGTGTGTGGGAGTACCACATGGAGTTTGCTCGCTTGTCCAAGTATGCCATTCATATGTTGCCCACGATGGAGGCCAGAGTGCGCCGATTTGTTCAGGGCCTTAATTCTTTAACCATTAATGAGGCTTCTACGGCTGCATTGAATTCTGATATGAACTACGAGAAGATGGTCGCATTTGCTCAGGCCACAGAGGGCCGTAAATTGAAGAACAGAATGGAGAGAGAGGGTAACAGCAAGGCCCGGTCTACGGGCAACATGGGAGAGTCACAAGGTGGGGGAAGATCAGCTTTCAGGGGAGGATCATCAGGGCCTTCCCAATCTGTTGCACAGTCTACAGCCAGTGCACCGCCATCAGGGCCCAGCCAGCAGCAGTGGAGTCGTTTCAGGCCCGGTCAGGGCAACAGGGGATCCCATCAGCGGGGTCGATCAGGAGAGAGGTCCCAGCAGCAGCAGAGGTCCCCGTGCCCCAGGTGCGGGAAGATGCACTCAGGGATTTGCTACATGGAGTTACCTATATGCTATGGATGTGGGATGAGGGGTCATATCCAGAGACATTGTCGTGTATCCCGCCAGGGAGCGGGCAGGGGCACAACTCAGCCTTCCAGTCCAGCAGCTGCTACATCTTCAGCCCCCTCTCCAGCTCGAGGTACCCCAGCACCCGCAGGGCCTGGTGCAGCTAGGGGTGGTGCGCAGAGTTCAGGAGGTCCCAGCCGATTCTATGCTATGAGTGGCCGCCAAACTACAGAGGCTTCTCCAGATGTTGTTATAGGTATTCTGACTGTCCAATCTCATGACGTGTATGCACTTATTGACCCCGGTTCCAACTTATCTTATGTTACCCCATTTGTTGCTATGGAATTTGGGATAGAACCAGAACAACTTCATGAACCATTCTCGGTATCTACTCCGGTTGGTGAGTCAATTTTGGCTGCTCGAGTTTATAGAAGTTGCATTGTTACGGTGCGGGGTAGGGATACCACGGCCGATCTTATTGAATTAGGGATGGTCGACTTTGATGTAATAATGGGGATGGATTGGCTTTATTCATGCTTTTCCAAACTTGACTGTCGGACTAGAACTATCAGGCTTGAATTCCCTAATGAGCCCGTTATTGAATGGAAGGGAGATAATGTAGTGCCTAGAGGTCGGTTTATTTCCTACCTTAAGGCCGCAAAGATGATCAAGAAGGGGTGCATCTATCATCTAGTTTGGGTTGCAGACACCAATGTTGAGGCGCTTAGCCTTGAGTCTGTGCCAGTGGTGAATGAATTCCCGGATGTCTTTCCAGATGAGCTCCCTGGGATTCCTCCAGATAGGGAGATTGATTTTGGGATCGATGTGATGCCAGGCACGCAGCCTATATCAATTCCACCTTATAGAATGGCACCAGCAGAATTGAAAGAGCTAAAGGAACAATTGAAGGATTTGCTAGAAAAGGGTTTTATCCGGCCGAGTGTGTCGCTATGGGGCGCACCGGTCTTGTTTGTAAGAAAGAAAGACGGATCGCTGCAGATGTGTATTGACTACCGGCAACTCAACAAAGTCACAATCAAAAAACAAATATCTTTTTCCAAGAATAGATGACTTGTTTGATCAATTGCAAGGTGATACGTGTTTCTCAAAGATTGACTTGCGGTCCGGGTATCACCAGTTGAAGATAAGGGAGCGGGATATTCCAAAAACAGCCTTTAGAACTCGGTATGGGCACTTTGAATTTATGGTAATGTCTTTTGGGCTAACAAATGCCCCGGCAGCTTTCATGGACCTTATGAATCGAGTCTTCAAGCCCTTTCTAGACTCCTTTGTGATAGTGTTTATTGACGATATCCTCGTGTATTCCCGAAGTCGGGAGGACCATGCTGCCCATCTCAGGGCAGTATTACAGACTCTTCAGCAACATCAATTGTATGCAAAATTCTTGAAATGTGAATTTTGGCTTGAATCTGTCGCGTTCTTGGGCCATGTCGTCTCTAGGGAAGGAATTATGGTTGATCCTCAAAAGATTGCAGCAGTGAAGAATTGGCCTAGACCTACCACTCCTACTAAGATTCGCAGTTTCTTAGGTCTGGCCGGGTACTACAGGAGGTTTGTGGAGGGGTTTTCTACTCTTGCCTCTCCATTGAGTAAATTGACACAGAAAGAGGTTAAATTCCAATGGTCCGATGCTTGTGAAAAGAGTTTCCATGAATTGAAGTCAAGATTGACAACAGCACCGGTATTAGCCCTACCAGAGGGCATAGAGGGGTTTGTGGTGTATTGCGATGCTTCGAGAATCGGGCTCGGGTGTGTGTTGATGCAACATGGCAAGGTTATAGCCTACGCTTCTTAGCAGCTCAAGAATCATGAGAAGAACTATCCAACCCATGACTTAGAACTGGCAGCAGTGGTGTTTGCGCTAAAGATTTGGCGGCATTATTTGTATGGGGTTCAAGTGGATGTATTTACGGATCATAAGAGCCTTCAATATATTTTCAAGCAGAAAGAGTTGAATCTGAGGCAAAGAAGATGGCTAGAGTTACTCAAGGACTATGACATTGATATTCTCTACCACCCGGGAAAGGCTAATGTCGTGGCAGATGCACTTAGTCGTAAATCCATGGGGAGTTTGGCTCATTTGGGGGCGTATCAGAGGCCGTTAGCCAGGGAGGTCTACCAGTTGGCCAGTTTGGGAGTTCGCCTTGCGGACTCTAATAAAGGAGGGATAATTATACGGAATAGAGCTGAATCTTCGCTTGTAGCAGAGGTGAAGGAAAAACAATTTAACGATCCATTGTTAACATAATTGAAAGAGGGGACTCACAAACACAAGACCACAGTTTTCTCCTTCGGCAAGATGATGGTACTCTACGGTACCAAGACCGCCTGTGTGTTCCTGATATCGACGGTCTTCGGGAAAGGATCATGGCAGAAGCTCACACATCCAGGTATTCCGTGCACCCAGGTTCTACAAAGATGTATCATGACCTCAAGGAAATTTATTGGTGGAACAAGATGAAAAGGGATATGGCGGATTTTGTGGCAAAATGTCCGAATTGTCAGCAAGTAAAGGCCGAACATCAAAGGCCCGGTGGATTGGCTCAAAACATAGAAATTCCAATGTGGAAATGGGAGATGATCAATATGGATTTTGTGGTAGGTCTGCCGCGCACTCCGCGCTAGTTCGACTCAATTTGGGTGATCGTGGATCGACTCACGAAGTCAGCACACTTCTTAGCGGTTAAATCTACAGACACAGCGGAACAATATGCTTAGTTATATATCAAAGAAATAGTCAGGTTACATGGCACTCCAGTTTCAATCATTTCCGATCGAGGGGCTCAGTTCACAGCCAACTTTTGGAAGAAGTTTCAACAAGGTTTGGGGATGCAGGTGAATCTTAGCACAGCTTTTCATCCACAAACCGACGGGCAAGCTGAGCGGACTATTCAGACGCTTGAAGACATGTTGTGAGCTTGTACTCTTGATTTCAAGGGTAGTTGGGATGACCATTTGCCACTCATAGAATTTGCTTACAATAATAGTTTCCATGCTAGTATCCAGATGGCACCATTCGAGGCATTGTACGGTAGGAGATGTAGATCTCCTATTGGATGGTTCGAGGTTGGAGAAGCAGAGTTGATAGGGCCGGGCCTTGTGCATCAGGCAATGGAGAAAGTCAAGGTTATCAAAGAAAGGTTGAAGACTGCTCAAAGTCGCCAAAAGTCTTACTCGGATGTTCATCGCAGAGATTTAGAGTTCAAAGAAGATGATTGGGTATTTCTGAAGGTAACCCCTATAAAGGGCATCATGCGGTTCGGAAAGAAGGGAAAATTGAGTCCGAGGTATGTCGGACCGTACAGGATCATTCAGAGGATTGGTCAGGTGGCATACAAGCTCCAGCTGCCACCCGAGATGTCATTGGTACACCCGGTCTTTAATGTGTCTATGTTGAGGAAGGTAGTGGGAGATCCGTCAACCATTTTGCCAGCTGAGACAATTTAGGTTAATGAAGAGCTATCGTATGAAGAAGTTCCAGTTGCCATTCTTGATAGGCAGGTTCGAAAATTGAGAAATAAGGAAATTGCATCCGTGAAAGTATTATGGCGGAACCAGCAAGTTGAGGAAGCTACTTGGGAAGCCGAGGATGAAATGAAAAAGAAGTATCCGCATTTGTGTGAATAGTCATGTAACAGCTTTAATGCATTTAGTTCCTACGAACTCTTATCTTTTAGGGTTGATCTATGTAAAACCGTCCCCTTTTTGGTAATGTGATTGCCTATACGGCCTTGGTTGGTGTTCTAGAAGTTACATTATGTTTATGAAATATGTTTATGCTGTTAGGATATGATTCTGGGGCTCTCTAACAGGGGGATAGGCCTAAATACAAAACTCTGGCGAAATTTTCGGAAATTTAGGGAGTTAGCTAAATTTGGGGACTGGCAATATGTTTCAGGTTATAAAGGGCAGAAGGATGCACAAAGACTGTTAGTATGTGAACCTTGATCGTCATTCGAGGACGAATGATCTTAAGTGGGGGTAGATGTGAGGCCCCGTGAAAAATTTCCACTCTAAACCCGAACCTCGTAGTGCCAAGTTAGGGCCTGGTGTTAGAAACACATAAACATTTTTCGTGGTGAGCTTGCGGCCGCGGCTCGAACCCTTTGAGCTGATCTATGCATTTAAAAATCAAGAATCAAAGTTTTCCAGAAAAGTGCAAATGTGCGGTTTAGAATGCGGTCGCATACCAGGTATGCGGACCGAATTTCTGCCGCAGAGTGAGTCAGTGTGTTAGCTAATTTGAGGTTAAAGATGCGGTCCATTATGCGATCGCATAACCAATATGCGGACCGCATAGTCGTCGCATAAGTTCCTTGGGATTTTGTGAAGGTCAGTTCTGCGGTGCATAATGCGACCGCAGAACGAGTATGCGGACCGCATTTCCGTCACATACCCAAGCAGAAGGTTCAGGTTTTGGGAGCCTTTTTGCGGTCTAATATGCGGCCTGCTTTTCCACTTTGCGATCGCAGATCCGACTCGGGGCTCCAATTTTCTAATTTTTAACCCGACCCCCCTATCATTATATTCGGTATTATAGCTCATTTTGAGCAATTTTCTTGACATTTCTAGAGTGAGGGAGAGGGGTCTAAGTGAGAGAAAGTTTCCCCCCACCAAATTACTCCATGAAACCTTGTTGAATCCTTGAAGATAATCAAGCAAGGGAAACTAAACTTTTCATCCCCAGAGATCGAAGCGATAAGAGTTCCGAAAATTTGTAAAGAGTAAGGGAAGCTATATTGAGGTATGTATAGCTAAAATCCCCTTTTAGTAGAAATTGAGCTCTGTGGGCGTTTACGAAAGTGTGGTAAGATTTGAATTGGTTAATGTATTGATTGTTATTGCGCATTAATTAATTTGCAATTATGTACACATATACGTGAATGATGTGCCTCAATGTTATGTAATGTACCATTCTTGAAAATTTAGAGAAGTATGAAGAATACAATTATGTGTCGAAATGCTTAGGCTAATAGGCCAAGATTGAAACTGAGAATTATTCATGCTAGCTATGTGCTCACTTACCTGTGCTTACAACTTAAACTACTCTTGTATATGTCTATGATCACAACTTGCAAGATGAATATTGAAAACGGAAAACGATGTGATAATGGTGGCCCTAAGTGCTAGGGAATTGATATGATATATGTGAAATAAAGAATCGTATATGATGACTAATGAGAAAGGAACAACGCCTAGATAAGGCGACCTAGCCTATCGGATCGTGATCGGACACCATGTTGCACACATGGTGGTAATGTGCTCATATTGAGCTCCGGATAGAGGAAATGAAATAGTTATTGAGATACATGCCTCAATGAGGCAACCTAGCCGGTCGGGTCGTGATCGCTCTCCGCTCAAGATAGCGGTGGTATTGAGAACAGTGATGAACATAGGAAAGGAATGCCCCAAACTACGTTATGGGAATTATGTGAATGATTTTATGATTTGCATATTTGATTCACCTATGTGATTTACTTGTCATTGCTTGGTAGTTCTTTCTAGTAAAATGGTGTTTAGTTATACATACTAGTACTATTCTGTGGTACTAACGTCCCTTTTGCCGGGAGCGCTACATTTTCTTAAATGAATGTAGGTGGCTCCATAGCAGATAGTGCCGATCGTGTGTAGCGGAGAATTTTCCTTCCCAAAGATCTTGGTGAGCCCCTTTCTCCTTCAAGGGGCTATATTGCACATCTTCTTATTTTGGACTTTCACTTTTGAGGTATAGCCGGGGCCTTGTTGCCGGCGTTGTCACATTTATTTTTGTATCCTTAGAGGCTCCGTAGACATGTATGTGGGTTATGCGTGGGCATTGAATGGGCGTGCTATCCATGTTATAAATCTAAACTTACGTTGCCTATGAATTTTAACTCTATGGGAACCTTGGAAACTAACTTATCTACAGTTAATGTGGTGATCTAAAATGAACTAAAAATGTTGAATATACTATCTCCCTTTGTCGAATAAATGAAAGCATGGTCCCCTTATTCGTATTGAGTTGGGTAGATAGTGTTTGGTAAGGCTTGCTCAGTTGGGGTCACTTGATTGAGCGCCGGTCGCGCCTCCCGAGGTTGGGGCGTGACAGCCTTGATTAGGATTGCCACCACTCCAATTGCCTTGGTGGTTTTGGTTGTTCCAATTACCTTGGTTCCCTTGTGACCTCCATTGTTATTGATTTTGTCCTTGAGCATTGTTTCTTTTACCTTGATAATTGTTGACATACTGAACTTCTTCGTCTTTCTCATTGAATGAATCACCTTGATCATAAGCACTATCATTTTACATAAATTGTTCCGGACGATTTTGCATGTGTTGTCCTTGTTGCCATCTTTTGTTCACCATCATATTCACACCTTCCATTGCATGCACTTGTTTTGGCCCTTGAACCTGATGAACCTGAGCTTTGGCCAATTGGTTCATGGTAGTTGTCAACTCGGCAATAGCTTGCCCATGATCATGTAGCTCCTTGTGTAGGTGAATAACATTAGGGTCACTTTACAGAACATTGGCTCTACTTTTCCATGCTGAAGAGGTATCCGCCATGTCATCAAGAATTTCACAAGCTTCGGCATATGGCGTGTTCATGAAGTTCCCCCCGGTGAGTTGGTTAACCACACGTTGATTAGTTGTGTTGATCCCCCTGTAGAAGGTCTGTTGGATCATGGCCTCAGTCATATCATTGTTCGGGCACTCTTTAACCATGGCAGTATCTTTCCCAAATCTCGTGCAATGGTTTATTGGGTTCTTGCTTGAAAGCAAGAATCTCATCCCAGAGCATCGCCATATGTCCCGAAGAAAAGAATTTGGAAATAATTTTTTCTGCAAACTCATCCCAAGTATGGATGGAATGGTTGGGCAACCTCTCTAACCAGTCCAATGCCTTTCCCCGTAGAGAAAAGGGAAATAGCCTCAACCTCTGCGCATCCTCAGAGACATTTGTTTACTTGCTCCCCCAACAAGTATCGACGAACCCCTTGAGATGCTTGTAGGCATTTTGATTCGGAGCCCCGGTGAAGAACCCCCATTGCTCAAGTAGTGTAAGCATCATGTTGGTGATTTGGAAGTTACCCGCCCTGATGCGGGACAGGACTATAGCACTTGCATAACCCTCGTTTGATAATTGTCCGCTCTTGGTAGAGTTGGGGGAGGGGCGGGCACATTATCGTGAGGTGGGCGGCCTCATCTATTAGCTTGAGGTTCAAGAGGAACCTCATCCATGGCATCATCGTCCACTTCCTCCCCCAA